TATATTTAAGATCTGTGCAAGAACTCAGCTAACAGATGTTTCCGCATATAAAAGCTATCTTCAAGTTTTATACACATTATGTTTATAATTTGTACCACTAGGTAGCAGCACGTCTCAAACTTTTTTTGTTAATCAATTATGAGGTACCTTAATGTTCTACCACTAGATGGCAGAACACGTAAATAGTCTGCTGTTTAGCAGTTGTGTTGTACCTTAACATGTGACAGAGCTTCCTCAGTGCAATATAAACCAAACAGTTCTATCGTGTATACACGCAGCTCCCTCTATAAATAAAACGCATGCTGTTGTAAAATATCAGTTTCACTGTATCAGTGTTCATCTCATGTTAATATTACACAGTTTTTGTCTATCCATTTCTACAAGTTGTTTTGAGCACAATTTGCATCAAGGTTATAGTAGATGTTTTTCTCCAAGTTTAGATAATTATACAGTTAAACATTAGAATAACAATAGATTAGACTGTTGACTTCTTTACCAATTTATTTACCAATACTTTGTGTTCTGTAAGTAGAGTCAGTAGCTTATTTTGTATACACTCAGTAATTAGGATAATTAGATAACATACGCTTATGAAAAGACTGACAGAAGAAAAAGTTTAATTCAACAGAATGAATTTTCTTTGTTTGTTGTTAAGCGCTAACTAAACAATGTCCCCACCAGAGGTATTGAAACCAGGTTTTTACTACTGAGCCACAGGGGAGCAAAGGAATAAACATTAAACTTAATGATATCCTTTTTAACTGTGTTTCTGCAAAATCATAATAACATAACACAACCTACGAAAAGCGAGATATTGTGTGGTCCATCAAAGTTTTCCACACGCACACACCCTTGAGAAAAGCAAAACTTAAACTCACCCTTTAGGCTTCAGAAAATTATCGATTGTTGTAAGGTGCTGCCCTCTACTAACGCTGACAGAAATTCATTCCGTAAGGCAATCACTCTGTTAAAAATATTTGTCTTAACTGGAGCTTTTCAAGTCTGTCATTTCCAAACTTAAGCTTGTATCTTCGCATGTTATTGTCCTCAGAATACAGCACATAGAAATCAGAGTCCTTTTTCCATAGATCCCCAGATAATTTTCTAAACTTCTATCAGATCACCTCTTAAACCTACTTTTCTCAATATAAAATCAAATTCAGATATATTAGGCTATCCCCATGAGATAATAACCCTTTCTTAATCGAAATCAGTCTGTTAGCACTCTGATGAACTCTTACCAATAAGTCAGTATCATTTTCTTAAATAAGGAGACCGAAACTGTTGTACAGTATTCCAAGTGAGGCCTAATTTGTGATTTTTAGAAATATAATTACCTCTTCTGGCTTGTAATCAGGATGTTCATAACATACACCTATTAAAACCTATCAGTTTTAATACTACCGATAAAGCATTCCTTCGATGGCTTGAGTGATTTAGCAACTACCTTGTATAGATCATTTCCTTCAGTCACCTTGAAAATTACCAGTTGATCCAAGCCATTCTGTAGTACCTCATCATCATCAATACAGGTAGAAATATCCAAGAGCTGACACCAGCAAACTTTACTAATAAACTAATTATGCCACTAGCAACATCATCAATGTAAATAAGAAAACCGAAACGTTGGAGGTTGGAGTAAAATTAATAGTTTGGATAGTATGATGGTTGGATGAAGTCTGCTCATATTGGACCCTTGTTATTAGTGGAGTGCCTCACTGCTCAATGCTTGAGTCTCTGCTTTTTTTTATCTTCTTTGCAACTTATCAAAAGCTTTTGGAAAATCTAAGAATACTAAATTCACACCCTTTCCATCTTCCAAAACACATAACGTCTTTGATAAAAGTTAACAGATTAATAAGGGAAGATTTGTGTGTGTGTGTGTGTGAATTATTCAATTTAATTTAATGATATATTTATTTTCATGATCTTTATCAGAATCTCTAGAATTTCTCCCCTAGAGAAGTAAGATTAAATTATGTATTATTTCCAGGACAACTGTTATCATTCCTTATAAAATTGGAGTAACATTACCAAATTTCCAATCCTTAGATACCTGTCGGCTGTCTATTGGTCAACCACAAAGAAATAGAGAGCCCTCACACTGAATCCTTGATTTCCTTTAAAGACGTGAGGAACACATTGTGTGGTCCTGGTGCTTTATATATGTTTAACCTCTCAATAGTTTTACTTATCACCATGCAATTAATATCTAAGTGGTTAATGTTTCCTATTAGATGTTTAATCTGACATCATAGTAATATTCTATTTTCTAAAAATGAAAAATAACATGTAAAAACTCAGTCATGTCATGATATTCAACGAGCATCCTTTAAGAGCCCAATGCCGTTTTAATATGTTGATTACTTTTAACGTACTTAAACAATCCATGTGGTTAATTTTAACCATTTGTATTTCGTAATCCCTTTTTTCCAAGTTCTTAGCTGTCCTATAATTCTTGAACTCTTCCAAGTTTTCTGTCAATTTAAACTTGTAACATTTATCCCTGATTTTCTCCGAGTGTCTTTAGTAAAACAATCGCGTTTGATCTTCCCTGTTATCACTGATTTTCTCCGAATGTCTTGAGCAAAACAATCACGTTTGATCTTACCTGTTATATTTTTCTCTTTTTAGAAACATACTTGATTTGAGTTAAAAGCAATATATTATTCAAATTTTATAGTTCTGTCTCATATCACCATTTAACTCACTATCGCTATTCACTATTGATAAATATTGTTTCACGGCCTCAGTTTGTTTTGAATTTCGCGCAAAGCTACACGAGGGCTATCTGCGCTAGCCGTCCCTAATTTAGCAGTGTAAGACTTGGGCTACTCTTTTACCAACGAATAGTGGGATGGACCGTCACATTGTAACGCCCCCACGGCTGAAAGGGCGAGCATGTTTGGTGTGACGGGGATTCGAACCCGCAACCCGCAGATTGAGAGTCGAGCGCCCTAAACACCTGGCCATGCCGGGCCTTCACGACCTCAAGCATTATGAATTAAAATTTAATCTCAAGATGTAGAAAAACGTCAAACGTGATTATGAAATGGGCATTCTTCTTCGAATTTTCCCCCACTTCAACTCTTGTAACCATATTCTTGTTAGTGGTTAACATTAAATCTAACATTTCATCCCTTCTGGTTGGTTCTCTGACCATTTGATGTACAAAACCATCATTAATCTTTTCAAGAAACCTCTCATTGTTTGACTCCATACAATCCCAATCAATGTGTCTAAAGTCAAGAAACCTCTCATTGTTTGACTCCATACAATCCCAATCAATGTGTCTGAAGTTAA